AAATAATCAGGGTACAAATAAGGTAACTGTATTCCCATTACTAACTAGATTTTAAATACAATGTAAAAATAAGGTGATTTGCTAGGAAGGTTACCTTTAAATTACTCTTGTATAGCACTCCTGGTGATTGATAAATAAATAAATAAAAGAAAGGAAGAAAGAAAGAAAGAAATATATTTCTTCTCTCCATGACCTGTCACCATTACAGTAATGCTGCATCTAATGGATTTAGTGTTACGTTCGCAAGCCAACTGTAGTGTGCATTCAGGGGTTAAATACCACTTACAGCAGCTGTAACTTAAATACAGATATTTGAAGCTTGTAAAAAAAATCCCAATACTTTGAATGTTGAAAAGTGAATCCCTCAGGAAATACTGCCATTTACGGCCTACCTTTATTAAAGGCGCCAGTTTCCTCTCTTTCAATGATGTACAAAATTATTTGGGCACTAATAGCTTCCTCTCAGGGAAAGCTAAAGGCATAGGGGTTTTAGGCATTTGTAATGTGATCTACTGGCCTATAGAATGATAACTGACAGAATTTATACTGTATATATTAACATTTCACTGCTAACAAATCATTGACGATTCTATTTTGTAAAAATCGAGTAATCAGCTTTAATTGAGTAGTCTTGACAGCCTTAATTGTAATATGTATGTGAGAGGTGCATGATCGGATTTTCTCCCACAGCGGAGCCAGAGGTGCTGAGAGGCGCTGACTCATAGCAGTTACTGATTGAATAAAACGAGAGCAAATAGACTCAAGGGAAGAGGAGAGGTAGAGAGAGAGAGAGAGGTAGAGAGAGAGAGAGGGGGTGGTGGGGAGTGGATAAAAGCAGTCATGCAGTGCGAGCTCCTTAATCATGCCCGCTTGACACTCACAGATTGAGGCCTTCAAGCAGCACGGCAGCCATATCGACCTGCCGTTACACATTAACCACGGGGACAAGCAAACACGCAAGATGGCGATAGCACGACAAGACATCATGCTGTCTTCTATCTCTGTAAATGGCTCTCTGTCATTCCCTCTCATATTCGCCACACCGTCTGTCTCTATTCAGCTTAGTTCAGTACAAGATTTGTTAGCATTTTTTAGCATTCAGTATTATTCATGTTAGGTTTTGTAGCATAACTAACCAGCCAACATCAAGCACACTACTTTGTTACTGCATTAAAGAAAATGGTTTACAAAAAAATCAGATTTACACCATTTTCTCCTCACATTTGCTCAGCCAACATGTGTCTGTAGTTTGCTTCTTTAGCTTTGCAGTGGAGCTACAAAGCTAGTGTAGTACTTTTTCACTACTTAGCTAGTTAGCCTCATAGCTCCAGTGCGAAACTAAAGAAGCAAACTTTGGACACCAATCTTGGCTGATCGATTGTGTTCATGGTAAAGAGGAAAAGTGTACATTTTATTTTCCAGTGAACAATTCAGTTGGTTGTATTCAGGAAACAGCTGCACGGCTAATATGAAGGTTTAGCTTGTTCTACAACAACACATACACGCTATGGCCAGGAGCCAGTGTTTGTCTTTTTTTATTTTGCTTGTTGTTGGTTATCAGTGTAGACCATGGTCATTCAGATACAGATACAGAGTTTTATTGATCCTGTCCACAGTCAGTGGAAGGGCTGGGACGCTGCAGGACCGGATGATGAGGAGGAGGAAGGGTGGAGATCAGATAGCAGGATAGTTGGCCTCTGTGTTAGCCAGGGTCAGACGAATATGGTGTGGGAGGGGATACTGGAGGTGCCACCGAGGCCCTGATTTACCCCAAGTTCTTTAGGCTAGTAATGTCACTTCTGGTTAAATTTGCACACTGCTAGCTGTGTATTGAATAGCATGGCATACGTCGACAGTACAAGGCTTTTGCTGTAAGGCACTTACAAACGCTTGTGAATGCGCTGCTTTGTATTGTGTTTAAACATTAATGATGTTCAAACAGTACAATTACTGTTCTTTACATATCCAGTGTTTATTTAGCTGCTTGTTATGTGATTTGTGGTTTAATGGGTTGAGGTGTGGTTTGGTTTGTTATGAAGAATAGCAATATTGTGCAATATAGTGCATTGTCACTGTCACTGTAGCAAAGCTGTCTCACCAATAACATCCACAGGGCTTAGTTATATGGCAATTCTATTCTATTTTACTCTATTCCATAATTTCATTATTGACTTCTCTGCATAATTTAATAAGTGTAACATCACCATCACAAATGATTTTAAAGGACCCATATCACAGAAAACTTTCAAAAGCATACCATTCACTGCCCAGTCCATACGGTCCATATATAAAAATAAGCTGGAAAAATAGGCAGTTTTTAATTTGTTGTTTTTGTGATGTCACAACCTCATTTACATATAGCTGCGTATTCGGTCTACAGTGGTTTAGCCCATCTATTCACATTGAGGTTATAAGGAGTGTTTCAGCCTTAGAGTGCTTTTTGAATGAGGCATAATACAGGGCCAATCACAATGGAGATAACTTGCATATATCAGTCTTAAAGGCACAGCAGTGAAAACAGCCTGTTTAATTCTAAAAACATGAAGACAGGTTGGAAAAATATAGATACAAATATAGGATTTGGGCCTTTTAACCTACTTCAAACTACACTAATGGAATTGACTGAGACGAGTGAGAGTAAGTGGTATGATAAGGGTATGAGGAAAAAATGCTAATTAGGAGGCCGTTTTAGGACATGGCTTTAGAATGAAAGTAATGGAGCAGGGTTGCTGTAAATCAGAGATATCAGTGAGCTGTACAGGCTGTTGATAAACTGTGATTAGTGCCATAAATTCCATGTGTGTGTGTGTACGCGTGTGTGTTTGTGTGCTGTGTGTTTTGAGTTGATCGAGACTGGCAGTCCTTCAGACACGGCCAAGAACATTCATACTCTACCAGGAGCCACTGTTGACAGTTTAATACTCTCATCAATCTTCGTCAGGCAATCCCAAAGACCTTCATCCCCAATCACACATTTTACAGGCCAATTGCGGCAGTGCGGTGGCCAACCCTAACAGAGACTCCGAAAGAGCCTTAGAGAGAGGATATTTAGTTTCATACAGACAAACCACAGCAGATATTAAGACATTTCAGTCTAATAACAGACACAAGGGCTTATCATGCCAGTTTTATTGCAGCATTACGCATCTCTTTCCTCTCTCTGTCTAAACACATTTGCAATATCAGCCTAGGCCCACTAGTCCCAAACTTTGGCAGATGTAGCCCCAGGAGTACTGCCAATGCCATCAGGGATATGACCATAGTTTTACGATGTTTAATTATATTACAATAAAGAATTGCATTCCAAAAAGTCCCACTTTCTCACTACTAAAACTAAACGCCTAGTGTGCAAACAGTAAAATAACAAATGTCAAAAAAGATCAAACAGTTCAAAAAAGGTCAAATAGACTTCTGTTCAACTGTCTTTGTCTTTCACTGTTAGAATAAACATTTTCTGTTAAATGGTATCAGTTTTGATGCAAAAAAGTCAGGAAAAAAGTGATGACAGCAAATAATTTGGAGGATAGGGACTTCTTTTCCTTCTGCTCTCTCCCTCTGCTTCTCATATACACAAAACAGTTTTGTAACTTGGATCGTATGGGCCCCAGTACAAAAAAAAATTAAAAATGCAAAAATGACTTTCAATAAATAAAATAAAAACACAATGTAATTTGCTTGTTTACTTGTTATTGTTACGTCTTAAACTAGTAAATGCTCTCAAGACATGTCACTTCACCAACTAGCGTCTAACATTAACCTAAATTTGCATATTAGGTTTATTTAAGATTTTGGAATTGTGAAATAATGAATATATTACATTGCAAGTAGTGAAAAGTGTGTTTATAAATGGTTATCATGGATGAGATGCATCACGAATAAGAGGGAGATAAAAAACATCAGGCTTGTCTGTGTGTTGATGAAAGCTGACTGGTGAGTTAAGTTATTAAAAAAAAATAAATCCCATAATTAGACCTATGGGTGTTCAGTTGTGTTAGTATACATATGAGGGGCCCAAAACAGATTTTAAGGGTCCCATTCACTGTGGGCTCCAGTGGGATTGCTCCCTGAACATCCCGACTTTCCATGTAGGAATTCACAGCTGAGGGCACATTTTCTTAGATTTCCTAGGTGGAGATGGCAAATTATGAGCTTCAGTAAAACAGCATAATAATGTTTACTTATATAGCACACTTTTCATGTCAACTCAAGGTGCATTACAGAAAAATAAAACAAAAAGAAGAGTCTTCTACTTAAAAGATCCAGAATTTCTTAAAACATACCAAAATCCATAAATTTGAAAGGAAAATGTTTAAGCTTCTTCTCAAAACATCCAGAGTTTCTAAAACAAAGCAAAATTAATTGATAAAAAACAGGTCTAAAAAGAAAAGAAACCCAGAATTACTTACAAAAAAAAAAATCAATTCATAAAACACGTCTAAAAAGAAAAGTCTTAAGATTATTATATCGAGGCCACAAAATAATATATCAAGGCTACAAATTACTATATTGAGGCCACAAATTACTATACTGAGGCCATGAATTAATTGAGGCCTCAAGTTAAGTTTCTCATAACTTGCTTGCCTCAATGTATTAATTTGTGGGCCTCAATATAGTGGCCATGCCTTATTAAAAAATATCGCCATGTCACCTTAAGGTCTCCGCACTAGCCTTGATATTTTCCGATAAAAAAAAAACAACAACTGAAAAAGGCCAGTCATGTCACGTGATGCAAACAGGACGGCTTATTTTAATTAGGGGTGATCCAAAGTTGTTCGTAATAATCTAATAATATCAGCCTGAAATGTGTCGCTACTTTTTACAAATTTGTAGATACAATATTATAAATAACGAATATTATATCCACATTGATTTTCAGCTCATATTTTCCACGCTGTGCTCGTGTCCAGTGTCGCCCGTTGCACGTTGTGTTCTGATGGTACGATCCACTCCGTATAAATCAGAGCGAAGAACAACCGTTTTTCCGTAGAGTGAAATAAACTAACCTACCTGCTGGACAGCGACAGTCAAATAACAGCGAATAGCGAGATTAACCAAGCAAATAAGAAACCCAGCATCATGGGTGAACGATTAAAAGATCCAAGTAAGAGCTTTGCGTGTTTATTCTCTGACTGCAAAGCTTCCTTCTCCAAGTCCTGGAAGCTGGAGGCTCATTACTGCAAACACACCGGCTTGGTGAGTGAAGCAGCAGCAGCCGCAAGGAAAAACTCTGGGATAAAGCTATCCTGTTCCTGGTTATTGCTGGCCTTCTGTTGTTGCATAAATGTGATAAGGCAGTGGGTTAATCAGATCCTCCATGTTCCACTTTAGAGACCATTTGCATGTGACAGCTGTACCAAAAGCTTCTGCACCCGTTACCAGCTCACCCGCCATCGGCTGAGCCACAGTGGAGAGCGGCCTTACCTGTGAGTCCCAGCAGGATCTCTATGATGATCTTTCTTCACATGATCCTGACTGTTTTCATCTGTCATGTGCAGGTGTTCAGTGGATGGCTGTGCTGAGGCCTTCTCCACAAGTGCCAGCCTTAAGAATCATGTAGGGCGTGTGCACCAGAACAAAGAGAGGCAATATGTGGCAAGTAGTCTTCTCAGAAGTGGGTGTATTAGACCAGAAACTCAAATAAAAACTTTTTTACTGCTTAGAAAAATATGGAGGTAAACTACTTAAATAACCTGTACAGCTGCAGTGACACTTCCTATGTTAAGCATCTGCATAGAAACTTATGTTTGTCTCTTTTAGATGTATTCTTGGTCTAACAGGCAGTTTTAAAAATCTGGTTTAAATCTGGCTTCCTTATCTGATTGAACACCAGTTTTTCTTGGGTAATTGCTGGCCTGTATTGTTAGGGGAAGAGGGTCAGAGCACACATTATGTTGCAGTGCATGCTGGGGATTGTAGTGCAGCTCATGGTGAAACACGCTAATATTAATAGAAAATGTAAATAACTTCATGGGCCGAATAGGATTGTGCCAGGGGCCTGACATGGCTTTGTGTTTGATACATGGGATCTAGAAGTAGTTTTGCTTTGATAAGTGTATACATTTATTTTATTTATTTTTTTCCTTTCAGTGTAACTATGAAGGTTGTGGCAAGGAGTTCCGGAAGAACAAACAACTCAGGATTCACCAAAGTGAACATGCAAACCTGTTTCCCTTTGAGTAAGTAATCACACTTTGCATTAGCATTTCTACTGCTTTTTGCTGCTAACATGACTTCTTATAGGTGTCTCTTTGAGGGCTGTGGGAAGAAGTATGCCACCTCCCAAACTCTGAAAAGGCATGAAAAAGTGCATAATGGTAATTTTTGGCAAAAAGTCTTCATTCATGCCGTTGCCTTCGTATTTGGATCCAGCTCACTTGTTTTATTGACCCTGAATTAAGGTTATCCATGTGCTGAAGATGGCTGTCCTTTCAAGGGAAGGACATGGACAGAATATCAGGCCCACAGGAAAGCAGAGCACAGAGGTAGGCAGGTGCAGTTGGTGAGGACAGTCATGTGACAAATGCAATTAAGGTCATGGTTTGACAACAATTAGATTTTCCACTTCCCCCAAATGTAGTTGCTCAGCCAAGACATGTTTGGTGTCAGAGGTTTGAAGTATTGCTCCAGAGCTATGAGGCTAATGTGGCTAATGTAGCCAACAAGTAACTGAAGGTAATACAAATCTACAATAAGGGGCAAGTGTAATTAATTGCTGAAAGCCTGGTGATGCATGCAGTTGACAATGGTAGTTGGTGTTTAAGTTTCTATTACATATTACATTGGCCTCATAGCTTCAAAGCTAAACAGACACAACCTGTCTGGCACCTGGACTACTCTTAGGTTAAGAGAAAACTTGTGAACTTGAACTCTGGATTCCCCTTCACCTCTTTGCAGAGATCTTCCAGTGTGATGGCTGCAAGAAGGTCTTCTATGAAGCCTGGTTCCTGCAGAAGCATAAACAGTTTGTCCACTCAGGCGAACGACGAATGTTTAAATGCACCAAGGAGGGTTGTCAGAAGACCTATACCACAGGCTTCAATCTACAGAACCACATTCTTTCTTACCATGAGGGCAAGCGCTCCTTCATCTGCTCTCGTGAGGGGTGTGGTAAAGCATTTGCCATGGAAGTGGGTGCTCAGCTTACGGCTCTTGTATTCCTCAATTCATGATCTTTAAGGAAATGACTCTCAAGCTGACCCCTTTTTTCTAATTTTAGCAAAGTCTGAAACGCCATGCTGTAGTCCATGACCCTCAGAAGAAGAAAATGCAGGTAAACATCTTGCAGAAGAATTTCAGTGAAAGCACTTGGTGGACATGTATTTATTTCATGCTGACTTTTCTTTTAGAAGACCAAACTGAAGAACCTTCCAAAGACCAAGGTTTCGGATGCCTCTGAACTGACTTCACGTCTGCAGAATGTTTCTTTAAACAAATCAACATCTCAAAATAATCCAAGGCCATGACAATTCCAAATGGCCATTAAATACCCCTTAATATTAACTTTTGGTTTCTGGATTTGATTTCAGTTTGTAAACACCATGCTAAATAAACTCCACACTGCAGCTCTGGTTGTGTTAACTTGAATGTTAAGTGAATCACAAGGATGACTTGAGTACTGATTTTTGAAGTTAGACTTGCTTGTATCTTCTAGAAGAGCAGCAAGCAAAGTGCATCTTGGCTTTACTGTGAATTCTAGTATGGTTGTTCATTCAGTAGGTGACCGTATCTAGGGGGAAATCAAGCAACTTACCCCAAACTATCTACCCATGAGTGCTTGTCACTTTTAAAATCAACTTCCACCTTCGAAATGCATCAGAAGGGGAGTTCCTTGTCTTGAAACCATGATTTCACTTTAGAAACTTAAGCAGCAGCACCACTGCAAGAGGCAAGAAGGCATGTTTACAACTGATCTACAGATGGTTACATTTTTGACCCGTGTCACTAAGATATTTCAAATAGATTTGCTTGTGGTTTAACACTGTTACATAAAAATGGACAACCTTGATCAGGTAGCAGTAGGTTAGTGTCACAAACCATGTGAGCAAATGTATAATTGCTTAACTTGGCAGAGCTCAAAGTTTTTAGCCCATGAATGTAAATTAGCATGGCTGAAAAGTCCCCACAAAAAAACTCCAATTAAGCATGTGGATTGTAGATGTCACATGTGCCAAAAACAAATTACATGCAGTAAAAATAAACAATATCTCTTGCAGGGGAAAAGTGGTTCCGTTTCACTATCTTTTTATTGATTGTACTCAGGATGTTATAAAGACTGTAGGAATTTGTGTGTGTTTTATAGAGGAGCACACACTTTTGCAGCTGATTTTGCAAGCTCCAAAGGTTTAATAAGTCCCCAGGCATGTATTCCTCATTACATGCGGTGGTAATATGTACTCTTTTTCCAGGACATGTCCTCTTTTGGGACGTAAAAAGTGTGTCCCGTCGGGATTTGCTTTTGCTTTGATTTTGACATTTGCTTTGTACAGTTTTCCTCGTGCCACCCTTTTGTCCTCAGTGTTCTCTTTTTTGAAAACAAAAATATAGAATATGGTCACACTGTTGCTGCAGATGAGCGTTTTGGTTGAATCACTGCTTTAAGCTGCAGCCATACATTCACTTTGAACACAGACTCTTAGATCGCACACGTTTTCTGTGGGAAAGAATTATTTATTAAACACCTGTACACGTACACATTTATACACACACACTCTTGCTCTCACTCGCACACATTCACTCTCGCACAACACATAGAGATAACATATATCTATATATAAAACCCCCAGCAGGGCGGACCGCTGGCCAGCATAGTGGTGGGACGGCCTTAAGGCTGCTCTCTGGGGGGGTGTGGCCTCATGGGCGTGGCAGGGTTTTCTAAGGCCTGGTTTATTCAGCATCGAGTGAAGCATTCAAGTTCACATTGACAGTATGACGCCTCTGGTGGAGAAAGGGGACGGACTGACGGACACGGGACGGATCAAATTCTTAGATGAGAGGTTACGCCAGGCTGCCAGGCCAGGAGACTACGGTGAGCGCCAAGCGGCTGCGCTGCTCCTTCAGCATGGGCACCAGGGCCGAATGACTCATGCCTGCTGTTGGCAGGCCATTCACCGCCACAATCATGTCACCACACCTGAGGCCAAAGACAAGAATCTGACTCAGTATCATGATACGATTAAACAATTTGTCAATGTTTGTTTTTTAGTAAGAGTGATAGGTGCAGATTCAGATATGTTTCAACCATATATTTGAAGGACCTTTATTAGGGGTCAGCAACTCAAATTAACAGTTAAGAAGAGCCACTTTGTCCTTAAAACCACAACATTTTATGTACATTTTACATCTTGGCTGTAAATATGTCTCAGTATGTGCTAATGTACTAGTATAGGCTAAAAATACAATATAAACCAAAACGCAGACTTACTTTGCTCTGCTTTAAGCTTTAGCTCAGCTATAGCTGTTTTTCTCACATCTCTAGGAGGAAACTTTTCTGCAAAAGCAGAACAGTTTCTTGAAAAATGTCTCTTCATGTTCAGCCCTCATTTACCAGCTTCTTTCCACCTTATATGATGAATGAGAAGCTGACTTCAGCTCCGTGACTTTTTAGTGTTTGACAGTTTCTCATTGCAGATTTAACATATAAGGAAAGTGCTTATAGGTGCAAATAAATGTATTTGTCCCCAAATTATCGATATTTGTCTTAAATCTTTCTCTTTGCCTTTTTGTTACTAGCTACTAGCTAGGCGAGATTCTTGTCTGTGTTGCTATGGTGACCAGCAGTCTGCGTGCCATCCTTCAGGGTTAAAGGGCAAATTAGCAGTTATATATTAATTCCAGCGTTTAAGACCATTTATCGTTAAAACAGTGTTAGAACGATCGACAGAGCTTTATTTTACTGCAAAGGAGGATTATTTTATTTTTACCTACAAATCTAATTCTGCTGTAGAGCCGCAAAAGGGCAGTGAAAGTGCCGCATGTTGCCTACCCCTGACCTACATTCTACATTTGTGCTCTTTTATGTACGCATTATTTTTACATGACCAAATTCTAACACCTGTTAATGCCTTATAATTAAAGGAATGGTTTGGCGAAAAATCGAATTCCCACTTACCCCAGATGTAGTCGAATGGCTGAGACATGCTTGGAGGCTAAATTGTCAGCTATGTGTAAATGTTTTCATGGTTTTGATACTACAACCATTATGAATTCAAAACTGGGCTCAGTTTCCATACATGGACTAGTGAGTGAATGGAGCTTATTAAAAAAGTCAGTTTTCCGTGAAATGGGCCCTTTCACAGCAAAAAAGAGGGCAGTCTTATAATTGTGCCGACAAATTTGTTTGATTGTGTTTATGAACTGTTCACTCACTTCAACCGGCCATCATAATACGCAGGAGTTCCTAGCACGATGGTTTTGATGAAGAATGCCTGGTTGCTGTGGTTTTCCTCATAACCCCCGACAATACTGAACCCCCAGCTGCCGGGGTGACTTCGGCGCAGGACAATCTCGTGGCTACTGTGTAGGTAGCTGAGTCACATAAAGAGAAAGAGAGATTGGTAAGGCATTAGCGTACGTTGGAGAAAGAGTGAACAAATACCAGCATGGTGAAAGAGTGGAAGGAATCTGGGTCGGAAAAAAGGGGTTTACAGCAGGAAATGAAAGTCAGGTCCACAGATGGACAAAGAAGAAGGGACAGCTGCAGACTGGGATGGGGAGAAGGAGGGGAGAGAGGGAAGATTGGATGGAGAGGGTTTGGCACAACGACAAGAGAAGGGAAGGAGACAGAAGGGCAGGGAGGAGAGGGGGATGGCGGAAGAGAGAGAGGAGTAGTGAATGAGAGACGGAGGAGATGGGACTGAAAGCCCTCTGTGTTTCAGCATCAGTCTGAGCTCAAGCAAGAGTGAAAGAAGCAGGGTGAAACAGAAGAAATGAGAAAAAAGGGGGAAGAAGGAGGAAGAAAGAGAAAAGGGGGAGGAAGACAGCAAAAGGGAAAGAAAGAGAGATGAGAGAGGGAGAGATTTCACATCATGCCACTTTTAGCCGATGATCCAGCAGCACACATAATCCCTCTGGTCTGATCAGAATGGAATAAATCTCCAGAACACTAAAGCTCAGACTTTATACAAACGCTTGCCCAAGTCCTCTTAATCTAAATAGCTCCACTTCCTTGTCCCTTTACATCGGATGACACTCGGCTAAGGACACGTGAAATAAGTAGGTGAACTTAAAACCTGGCACACTCAAGGCCCAGGCCACCTCGCTTTCACCGGTGCACATTTATTTGGATCGCTGCTCACCAAGGTGAGGCGGCTATTTTCAAGCATCCCAACGGAGCAATTGTTACCGGTCCAAAAAAAGAAACGCACAGCTCGGAAAGTACATCCAATTAAGCCACGAATCTGTGCCTGTGTTTCTGCTTTGAGGAACAGGCAAGCTAAAAGCAGCATGCTTCATCCTCCCTCGCTCCCTCATCGCCCTGCATCTTTCAGCATTCCTTCATTAAAGGAATAGTTTAGTGAAAATGTGCACAATTTTCCCCTTATCTCCAGTGTAGTCGATCAGCCAAGACATGCTTGCTGTCTGAAGTTGCTTTTTAGTTTTGCACAGGATAAACATGGTTTAAGGCAACTGTGTGAGCTTACTTGTTAGCTAGGTTACATTAGCTTTATAGCTCCAGTGCAAAAAAAGCTAATGTTGTTAATGTAGCTAATGTAGCTAATGTAGCAACTGTCACACAGTTGCCTTAAACCATGTTTAGTTGTTAAGTAATCTCAAATAGACTTATGTGGTTTCTGACTCTGTATGACATACTGTTAACTATAAAAATGGACAAAAGTAGCTAAAAACAGTAGTAGCAGCCTGAATTTTTACTGTACCTGAGTTCATTTTTATAGTATGACAGTACAATAGTACGCTATACCACACAAATAAGTCTATCTGACATTACTTAAACAGGCACCCCAGTCAAAATGAAGCATTTAGTCATTACTACACCTGTTGTAAACATGCTAACTCTCATTCTATAGCGGTCCTACAGTGGTCTAGAGCACGATTTTCCAGCTTAAAGATGGGAAAACCCCCTTCTGATGATCTTTCTTGAAGGTGGGAGGAAATTTGAAAAATTACAAGCACTTTGGGGCAGTTTGAAATGTTTTTGCTAGTTGGCCAATGAAGAAGCCACATAGATAACGTCACTGCTAGCCTCTACATCAGTGGCTATGCCAGCAGCGAGGACGTCTTTATCGCAGTGGATGAATAGGCCCTTTTTACACTTCAGGTTATTTTTTCCACTGAAATTACTTGTTGCTGGGTTCATTAGGTTCCGCTAAAACAACAATAATAACAATAGCCAAATAAAAAAGAAGAGCTTTTGCTGCGTACCCAAGCAAAAAAACAAGCTCCCAGCAAAACAACTTCACCTCAGTTTTGATGGCTTCTCAGCTGATACGGAAGAGGTTTGTGCAATTAGGAAGGATGAAGGCATGAAGTACTTTTTTAGTTGTGCTTTGAGGCAAATGATGATTTAGGTTAGGCAGTTAGCACCATCCTAAACGTTGAGATACAA